ACCGAAGAAGTTCATGGCTTCTATGTACGTAAAAACGATAAAGCAGGAAAGAAACATTTTTCTTTGCGAGAGCTTGAAAGACTTGATACTTTATTTCTCAAAGATCTTTTACAGATCGTAAAACGTTTCTTTCTTTACCCACAAAGATTTTTCATTTATTTTTATTTTTTCAGTTTATTAAAAAGAATACATTATCTACATCTTTATCCTTTTGAAGAAAGGATGCACAATACATACTAGGAGATGATCATCCTCTTTATGGTTTTAAACTTCATTAATAGCTCAAGTTCTCAGGTATTGTTTCAAATCATTATTCAATCATTATAATATAAAATAATAAAGGTTTAACTAATTTGGTCATTTGCATATTTTGAGTTTCATGCTAGAAAGCAACTACTTAATGAGAACTAATTTTGCCAAGTCGGCTTATCTCGAGATAGTTACAAGCAGAGATGTTACAAGATAGTTTGTTTGCGACATGAGAATGTTAAAAGTGTGATACCTATGTTGATAGCAGTAAGTTTAGAGTAAACTTATTTAAAATACAAAGCTGTCATTGACCCAATTGTCAAGCATTATGCTCCGGCGATGTAAAAAGATCACATGGCTTCAATATATTCTCCTGGCAAAATAATATATCACTGCGTAATATACCGAAACTTTGAACATACATTACATTCATAGCTCACAATGCGCTCTTTCCTTTCCATATAACAATTCATCTTACTTCCTGAATCAACTTTTCAAGCTTTTGAAATTCTTTATAATATACGTACAGTACTTGAACTTTGTAAATCAGATGAATTCAGTGCTAACACCATGCGAGTGGGCTGAAAAGAAAAAGAGCTGATAATAATTGTTTAATAGTAAATTAATGTCACAGACTTTTGCACCTTACTGCCTTTTCAGTTTTCATACGGGAAAAATGGTCGACAAATTGACATTATTAGGGACCAAATTTGGTATTATAGTTATGATGAAGCATACCTATTGTCAGGCAAAAATTTACTTAAGGAAAAATGTAATAATGTTTATGTCATTGCGATAGTTGGAATAATTATCCAACAATTAAATTGCACTCATTGAAAGAGAAAAGAGCGGAGATTTCTGACAATTCGTAATTACTTGTAAGACAATCCGAAACATAGAATTTCTTGAGTCAAGCGGCATTCAACACACGAAGATGTTGAATGTCTCATATATACCTGAGAGGACATCTCCTTTAATTAGAAACTGAAGCAACATTGTCGTCTACACTGCGCATTCAGTGAGGTAGTAATTTAGTCCAATAGATTGTATCATAGTAAACATACATAGGGACTCCTTTCAACTAGGTTAGAAACTCCAATTGAACATGATGTCTTTCCTTAGATCCAATTATTGCATGCTCCAAACCAATGTAAGACGATGGCACTGAGGAAGCCTTACACTCGTATTAATTATCCGCGCACGGAGACACCTCTTCAATTTAGTTTCATCATTAAGATGATAATTGCGTTTTTCAATGTAATAATCAATTCTCTTTAGAATTGGTTATAGAGAAGTAAAACATGGAAAGTAATTTAGCACTGAGGTGTAATTTTTCCATCAGTTTGAAGAAAAAGACAAACAAAATTCCCTCCTTTCATTTTGAAATGTTCTTTCAGTTCAGTAAGTTTTCTGGGAGTGCGCGAGGGTGGTTGGATAGTGAAGAAATACGAGGCACCTTAAAGGCTCCCAGCTCGAAGATCTAGCAGTGGTTAAGGGGAGGTTATCGCTTTAGGGCAACTAGTGCAGAGCAAACATATAGTACAAGAAATTCGAAATGAGGTTGTTGTGCCATTTTACGGGAAACAATTTTCAGAGAAGAACCAAGTCCTCAGTTGCTTTCCAAAGATTTTGTCTCTAAATAGCTATTGATTTCTCGTAAAATTCCTTTCCAAATATTATGCACTCATTTCAAGCTTTATTACTAGCACTTTATACAAATAAGTGCACTTTCAAATCAAGTGGACTCAAGTTCGGTAAAAACTCAGCTGTGAAACGAGATTGAAGTGATTTTGGTATTTTCAGTCTCGGTTGACTGATGAAGTGAGCTGATTACTCTTTTCCGACATGTTATCCTCGTTACAGTGACGTTATCAAAAGCATTTCTCTTCGACACTAAATTGCCAAGTACAATGTCCGTCGCGTCGGTTCAATTTGCACAACATTTTCAAAGTGATGAGTGAAAACAGTTTTATTCAATTTAAAAAAATTAAAATATGTTTACTGCTCTTTGTATAATACTTTTGTACAGAATTGACCGTAAAGCTGAGCAAAGAAGAACACGCCAAGAAAGTGTCGAGTTTGAGAAATGAATCGGCTTACTTTACGGATCACAGTCGGTGATGTAATGCGGCGCTGCACGAAATTCCACTTTCCGACCTATAGAAGAACGTTGTTGAAAAAAAATACAAAAATTGAAACCTGAACGTTTTTTCACACAGGCAAATAAATGTAATTTAAAAAAAACATCAATTCTACAGCTTATGCTAAAAAATAAAAAGGACAACCTGGTATATAGTAACAACACTTTGAGTTTAATAAATTGAAAACATTTTTATTTCAAGAGTATAGCGAACCCTCAAACCCCGCTTGTGTTGAAAGGATGCAATAACTCGACAAAACTTTGGACAAATGTTTTTTCACAACTATGCAGTACATTTTCGCTAGGTATTTTTAAAATTTCAGAGAGAGGGCTCGACAATAAATTATCATAAAAATCTTTAATTCCAATCGATAGAAAAAAACTACTAACCTATTTTTAAATTTCCATACTCACTTTTTGAAGCAATCGAGTGCAATTTTGTTTCATCTTAAAGGTTCAAGTTCTGAATATATACATATACTTGTTCTGTCAAGCTGGTTATTTATTTATTTAAGAAAAAATTGAGTTGTGGGACAGTGTAAAAATTGTTTCTATGTGAATAAACGTTGAGCGTGGAAGCTGTGGAAATAAGCGATTGGCCAGAAGGGTGTTTTAAAAATTAGAGCAATTCCTCTGCATCTCCAGGTTGGGTTCGTCTAGACGCATGACGGAACGAAAACAAACACAGTGGGCAGATACACAGGGAGAGCATTTAGAGTTTATTTTGAGCCGAGTTTGAGATTCTCGTCTGTTTCTCTTTTTCTGAAGCCTAGGGGGTTGATATGAAAAATGTATGCCGGGATTAGCGCGAGCAGGAGGATTGGCGTGAATCTGTCTTTTTCACTTGCCTCGAATGGTGCGTGCAGCACAGAAATGGAGGGTTTCTTGGAGTGAAAGAAAAGGGAACCCCAAGTCGACTAGTCCCTTACAAAGCGATTTCCAGTCAAGCAAGAACTCATTCGCCGACCTAAGTACGGCTCTCGAGAATAATTCCTCCGACGTGCAATTTCGAATTCTCATTATCGACGCTTCACATTCAATTTACCCCACCCAACTGCTTCCAGTTATCTATTAATGCTGTTCCCAAGTACTTCTCAGACATTACCTTTTAAATTCTGATGAACATTTATTGGATATATTTCGAAGAAGCATTTCCAAATTTTTACCATCAATATTTTATCAAATGTTCTTCTTACACTGCAAAAACGAGTGTGTCTTGTACATTATTTTCGACTATAATTCATAAATAAGATACTTTTTGTGTCTTGTGAAGGAGACGCTTAAAGTTTATTTATTTAAGACCTTTTATCTAATTTGAGACAATTAGATACGTACCTACTCGGATGTGAGGACAAAAGTGTATCTCAAATCAAGATATCCGTTTTTGCAGTGAATAAATAATAAAAATCTTTAAATGGGAAGAAAATTGCCACATATTTCTTCAATATTATAACAATGGGCTATTTTAATTTTGAACTTGAAGTTCTATGAATCTGTAATAAATTCTTGGGTCAACCATTCTTTATCTTGATCTGACTTGATCATCATATTGCATCTGGCATTTTAATTTCTAATCTCTGACTTTAAAATTATTCTTATTATTATAGGGATACAAAGTATTTTAAAAATTGAACGCAAATATTACAAATTTTGCAAATTTTTAAAATCTGAAATGTTAGAATTACCAAGAGTTATATACTTATATTTATTTTTTCGTTATTTTAAATTTATGAATTATTTAATATAAATGTGGAAAAATTAATATAAACAATAATGTTATAAAGTACATACCACTTTTTGTGTACAAGTTTTATAAAATGCAGATTAAAAATTTTTATACGAATACAAATATTAGAGAAAAATCAAGAAAAATTAACAGAATTAATTTTTATTCTAATTACGCAGGTATGTGAGTAACTTTACTAACTTGAAAGTAATTAATTTTTTCACTTCAAAACTAAAGTTACGTATAATTTTTTAATTTAAAATTATCACTGAGAGAAATATGGGTGGTAATATTTTGATGGTAAAGAGTAGGTAGATGTTATAGGTTAGCATAAAAAATTAAAGAAAAATATTTGTTATGACACCCAGTACAATATATTAAGATGTTATTCTGTACAATCTGGATTGTATCTGATACAATCTGTCTGTATTTGTATTACTAAAGATGGTACCCCGTGCAGTCATTACGTGACCCTGTAACATATTTTTACCTCAGTGTAGTTAGTTAACCAATACAAAAGTATATCTCAATAGAATATTGATTTTTAATCTTTTAAAGGTTGCCCAAGTCTACCCTTACTTAAAAACGCCTGAAAGGTAATTGTGGAAATGAGAAAATTATTCTTTCTCTTATCATCAGGCTGAACACGGATCACAGATATTAGATAGAATTAGAGAAAAAAGAAATCCAGATTGTTTTTTAAACAGTTTCCACCTAATGAATTGAACAGGGCATTGAACAGGGGTGAAAGCCCTTATTGGTAGCGGCCAATAACTTTAATGAGTTTATCCGAAACATTGTCTTGAATTCATCTGACAAGAGAAAAAAAAGGTGAAAAATATCCTTAGTTAATGTTGGAGGTGTGTAAGAGGATTAAAAGCTTACCGAGGAAGCTTTGAAGTAGACGAGACACTGTTTAATGACATCCATGGTATCGCCGGTGAGACAAAAACTGATTCTCAGATGACGGCCTTTGGTGCCGACTACCGAACAGAGTTTAGCTTGGACAAATGGATTCTGTGATCTCGAAGAAGCAGCCAGGAGAGGTGGTTGATGAGGAGCGGCGCTCATTAGACACTTCAACGAGTCCATCTCTCTTACCACGTTAATACCCCGTGGGTTTCCCGGCCGCTGAAAGGGGTCACCGAAACACCGTCCGCATTTCTCACTCGAGCCGCCTCTTCACGTACATTGCAGAATATTCCCAATCCCGTTCACCTCATTTTCTATTCGCTTTCTATTCACTCTTGACAATTATCAGGGGATTACATTTCCGTTAAATCTCTCTCACAGTTTGTTTTTGTCGAGGAAATTGGAGTTTACTTATCGTTTGTGTGCACAGTGACCCGATACTGTTGTGGTACTCACATGTGATTGAGCGTTAGTTTGAGTTGCGCTCAAGATGCCTCGGGCGCTTTCTCCGCTGTGACATATGCCCGGACCTAATTCGGCTCCTAAAGGGAGAAGTGCACTTTGTTGTCGTTGCTCCAGAATCACTTCTTTGGCAGAATTCTGCTTTGCGAAATTGCAATTTGCCAACAAGACGGCAAACTTCCAATTGCTCTCTACATCAAAAGGCTTTGGAATTTGAAAACTTGCCGAGCTCGTCTATTACATTGCCGCATTTTTCAATGGAAATTTAAAGTCCAAATCAATTCATTCAGATTCTCTAATATCAATTTCGCTCCAACTTTTAATCCTCTTTATCCTCACACTTTACAGCACTTATCATTCCCCTGCGAATTTGTTTGCACTATTTGCACGGGCAAGTGTCACTTACTTGGAGCAGTAATTTGCAGGTTTCTGAATTTTATCAGAAATGGAATAAATTTTTGATTTGCTCGAAGATTTGCTCAAGTCTTGGGACTCAATACCCTGCGGAGTCGCGTAACGTGTAATGAGTTCGCAAACTTCGTAACAAATGATGCAGAGTCCAATGATGAGGAAGGTATCCATTGCTGAGGTTAAGAAACAATGTTGTCAGACTATATCTGTGACTACTCAATTCCGTGGGAGTTTCTCGGTCGAAAATTCCGAATCGCTGAGTCGCAAAAATCCCCGAGCTTGATGGACATGTTACCCGAGTGGGAGTTGACAGTGACTGAGTCTCTCGGGATAATGACCGTTAATCTGTCGGCGATGTCAATTACGTTCGCTGCGAAGACACTCGAGACTCGACACTCGTCAGCGGCACATGGGGCCAATATCGTGGGGACGATTGCACTTGATTTCACTACAACACTAGCACTCTACTCTATTCCTACTTTCACATCGAACCGGCTGCTTCTGTCGGCTGCTCACCCCGAGGATGGGAAAGTAACCCCTCGAGCGCGCAGTAGGTCAGAAGGACTCCCGTGAAAGAACTCGCAACGTGGCCGAGAGGAGGAGGAGGAGGAGGAGGAGGAGGAGAGACGCACAGCGAGAGAGAGAGAGCGCGGGACACGAGTGGCTCGAAACGGGCCAACGTATGACTACCGGATATTGCCGCCGTGAGGGTGCGCCTTCGCGGGATGCTGGGCGACGGCGCGGCCCGCGGCGCCGCACCGCGACCACCCAACCCGAACTGCCTCCCCCGGCTACCCTCCGCAGACCTCCTGCCACTTTTCGCTCTTATTCTTCAACCCCGTCATCCTTCCTTCCTTCCTTCCTCCCATCGCCTCTTCTCGGTATATCCTTTCCTTATTTTTCTCCATGTCCCTCTCTGATCCCAATCTTCTTCCACCTGCTTTCCCAGGAAAGAACTCCCTGCATGATTTAAGTGGTTAAATGTGCTCCTCTTAAATGTCGTCTGTTACTTATAAATTCTGCCACGCACTCGAGTCCTCCTTCGCTTCCAACAAGTTTCCAAACTTTCAGAGTTATCGCCGCAGTGCCCTTGTCGACGGTGCGAACAGTTACTTACAGTTGTCTTGAAATGAGCTGATTGGGGCGACTGGAGTGACTCTTCATTTCGCTTTTATTCTCGCTCATTGGAAGGGTTTAATCAACTCGGCCGCATTGATGGCGCTTGCGATTGAAATTCAAATAAAAATAACGCAGCTGTTAATATGTTGTGCGCCGCCGACAGAAAACCGAATTTCAATTTCAAACGATTAAACTTTAAAATGATTGTTTACATAATTAGAGGATGCCACAATCCCGTTCGTTTTGCAATTACGTGAATGTTTACAATAATGCATTACCCCGGGTATGATGCGAGTTTGTATAATTTGCCGATGGTGGAGAGTTCGCATGATAGTTATTTGCCGATCGAAACGGCAACTCATTAATGCTACGTTAACTATCCAGCTTTCGGTGCGCACAAACGTTAATGCGATCCTCGTAGCATGTGCAGTTAATTACGGGCGAACAAAGGCTTATGCTTCGGGATCAATATGAAGTGGCTCAAATAAATATATCACATGTCGCCCTAACCAAAGCCTCTGCGATGTCATCGATTTCACTATATCGGTAATTAGATTCATTTAGTTAATTCGACGAGCTCCAAGAAACTTGCTAAATTTCAACACAACCGATGCATTCGACTTGGACAAGAACCGGGAGGCAGTTGCTAACTTTTCGAATTGCCAATCGCCTTACTTTGGCTACACTTTGCAGCAGCTTAAGTTTTTCGAGAGTCCTCTAATTCTACAGACTGCTCCAAGCTAAACAGGACTCTATTGGAATATGCAAATAGCGTTCGAGATAAACTCACCTTTTTCTGGTCGTTGAATTTCTAGGCTGAATTTTATTTATTTCAATTGTGAGATTAGTTATATTTTGCTTCAGTATCCCGATCCGACAAAGACTGTTTGCAATATATTATAGATAATAGTTTGAAGATGTGAGCAACATGGAGCGCGTGGTTTCTCTGGAAAAGTCAAAGGGGGGAATTGCATCCAAACAATGACGCCTGCAGGGCTTCTCGTGGCGCATGAAAAGGCTGATCATTCCAAAGATGTCGGAAGTACACACGAGTCGGAAATACGTCAAATACGTCGACTCGACTTTTGAATACTTTACAGTCTCGCTCTCCAGCCGCAACGTGAATATTTGACTCGCAGTCGTTGTACGCCATCAAGGACATGTGACAGCTGGATCACGTTATTCAACATGCGCGAATGTCGAAAACTTTATAAGGTGATTTCCGTGAATTCAATTCTGTTTTTGACCATAGTTGTTATAGTTGGATATTATTAAACTATAATATAAACCATGTAGATATTTGATAGCCCCGAGAGTGAACAATAACAGCAAATTGCCTCATAATTTTCATTTGAAGCTCTTTCCGGTCAGGAATTTTATACCCGGATCATAACGTTTTATTGTTGCGTGCGCTATGTCACGCTGCAATTCACGCAAATATCATGAATCTTTGAACCGTACCGCAAACATCAACGTATTTATGGTTACGTGAATTGAACAATTTTATAGCAATATAACCAAACGATTGCCTGAAAACTCTAATAAAGATCGATGGATTTATTTCAATTTACAACATTTCAATCATGAAACTCTGTCAATGCTTGTAAAATAATAGAGTAGAAGCAGTCTTTCACATCTCTAAACAAAAATCCAATTTATCGTCCGGTCCGCCTAAATTGCAATCTATTTTCTACATTGTAAACTAAAAGCAACAGTTTGGATGAACGCAAATATATTTATTTGCCTGCGAGGATTATCTTGAAAAATGAGATGTGAAACGCTGAAAATATTTTAATCACTTTCTTGAAGAGGCTGGAGATTATCGTGAAATGAATTAAGGAAAACATGAAGAGCACAGCTTAAGGTAAGCTGCCTCCACTGCTCGTTAGCTGATGTTCGATAAGGACTAACATAGGTTTGTAGAATGCCGGAAGCGATCGGTTCGATCGTTCGAGTCGGGTTCACTTGTGTAAATAGGGCTTAGAGGCCGAGAATAAGTACAGTAATGTGGACTGATGGCCTCACTAAAATCAGTAAAATCTCTCATTATCAACCCGAATTGATTGATGCTTCTCAATATGCTTTAAAAGTCGATTTAATAATTTTAATTTCATTCAAACTAACCAGCGCAATATTAATAAACTAATTAATTAAACAGTCATTATATTTGCAATTACAGGTTGCAAAGTGACGAACAATGAAGACAATATCGTCTGCTCTGGAGTTGCTAATTTATTTTGCGGGAACAGGTGGCGAATCAAGTTAGAAGCAGTTAATAATAAATCATTAGACGGTGCTGAGAGCGACCAAGTATTCCATTGAAGGGCGAAATGGGTCAGTGGCCAATATCATTAAATATCATTACACAAGGGCCGATATTATATGGTGCCGTCGCGTCGTTCAGCACGTTGGGAATAAGAAGTGGAAGCAGTTATTTAGTGCTTGCGCTGCTATTGATATATTTCGACGTTTACGACTTTCGAGTAACTTTCGAGTAATATACGGCAGACTTGGATTGTAAATTTCCTCGCTTCCGAATATTCCAGGCAAAGCTGACATCGAAGCAGTAGTAGCAGTAGCAGCACTATCCCTTGTTTACCACTTAGGCCAGCACTCACCATCGCCAAATGCACATTCATCTTGAGGATGTCAATTTGCGAATTTGCGAATTTGCGATTCCATCTGCTCATTTTTGAGAAACGACAGCAGTCTCGTTCTTCAAATATTCGAGTCTAGAACCGTTGACGGGCGGAGGGAAGTGGAATTCTATAAATTTTTCAGAAGTAAACACTACGCTTGGAATTAAGCGGTTTAGATTTCGTCGACACCGAAAGATCTTTGAAAAGCTCTTTCTGCGAAAACTCGATTACTCGATTACTCGTTTACTCGTCCATCCGGAAAAGCTGCGGATACTGCGGATTTTTCCACGGTTTCCACTAGGACGTTTCCGAAATTACGAACCGAGAGGAGTTATCGAGATTGCGCGCACCGACCCATTTCCCATTAAAATCGGACTTGCGGCACTCCACATTTCCTTCCCTTTTTCCAATTTGTCGCGCTCCAACCTTCCTTGCGATTATCTTAACTTTATTCCCGTAGAAAATGCACTCCGTATCGAATACAAGCACAAATTACTCAAGTAACTCAATTTCAATTTGTGCGAGATTAAACTCCAAACTAGAAAAGCTTTTAATTTGTGAAAATTGTTGCCGGATGCAATTACTTGAAGCTTTGCGCTTTGGACGTTATTACATAGATATGTGAATTACAATTTTTTGCAGAAAGCAATTCTCCCCTTCAAAATTTACATAAAATTCTT